TGTTAACACTGACCATAACTATGCTTCTTGATGACAAGAAGTTCTAATATTGCAATCTTTTTAGTTTTATATAAATTCATTTATATGGCCATTAACTCATTCTTATAGCGTTACGGTAGGGAGAGTGTACTGTGCAGTCTTATGTGGCTGTGAGACAGGGTCGTCGTTTCGCGTTTTTGTGTAATAATTACCAGTGTGGCTCACGCGCGATTAGTCATATAGACCGTTTACCAAACACTGCAACCTTGAACATGGTGTACTATACTACTAGGTCGTATTTCGACCTGTCACGATAGATAAGCATTGCCGTAAGTAAGACTGATGCGTTATAAATGGAAAGGTTTATTAAAGTTTAAATCCAGCACAAATGATCCATTTCCTTCTCTTGCAGCTTTTTCCGCCGTCGTTGTGAGTTCTTCCACGTATTTTTGCTTGTCGGCTCTAATGCTCTTCTTCACTTTCTTGTTTACTTCTATGTACTCTGCTTGTGCTTGGACTTTCTCTGCTCTTGTTCGACTGTTGTTAATTGCTGTCTTCTTGTTCTTTCTTTCTTTGATCCTGTCCAGTGTTTCTGTAGAGATCCATTCCTTGTGATGATGTTTCTTGGGGCCCAGAACCTCTTGACACGTTGAAGTTAATGTTTCTTTGATACCTTTCCAGCTATCCTCCATAGTAGTTTGTTCTTCCTTCAGTAGATCCTGTAAGGCTTGGAACCTGTTGTTGAGAGCTACCTTGAATTCATTGAGTTTGTCAGTATCTCGAAGGAAGGCTGTATTGAACCTTTGTGGTGCTGTTTGTCCAGTTGTCCAGTTCTTCTTTAGCTTCAGTTTCAATTTGGCCACAACCAGGTGATGATCTGAAGCTATGTCCGCTCCTCTCCTGGTTTTCACATCTTCCATTGTCCTTCGGAACTTTTTATTGATGCAAATGTGATCTATCTGGTTCTCTGTGGAGTGGTCCGGTGAGATCCATGTAGCCTTGTGTATACGTTTCTGTGGAAATATTGTGCCGCCTATGACCAATTTGTTGAATGCACACAGATTTACAAATTTTTCCCCGTTTTCGTTCCTCTCTCCCAGTCCATGCAGTCCCATGATATCTTCATATCCGGTGTTGTCTATTCCGACTTTGGAGTTTAGATCTCCCATCAGAATGGTGAGGTCTTTTCTTGAGAACTTCTCTATGATTGATTGCAGCCTCTCATAGAATTGATCTTTAACTTCATCGTTGCTATCATTAGTGGGTGCATAACACTGGATAATGTTCATTGTGATCTCCTCCTTCTTCGTTTTGAATGATGCTTTGATGATTCTGGATCCGTGAGATTCCCATTCTACAAGTGCGTTTCGTGCTACTTTGGATAGCATTAGAGCAACTCCCTGAGTGTGTGGAGCATTTTTCTCTTCGTGACCGGAGTATAGCAGCATCTCTCCCGTATTTAGCCTTTGTTGTCCAGCCTGGGTCCAATGGGTTTCACTGATTCCCAGTACTGCCAAGTTGTATCTCCTCATTTCCGTTGTTATTTGACTGGTCTTCCCGTTCTCCCACATTGTCCGGACGTTCCATGTACCTATAAAAATTGTTGCTCTGGTTGTTAGAAGGGGCATCGGCCTTGTGGCTTCCGAAGGAACTCGGCTTTCACCATGAAGCGTCATATTACCTCTAACTCCCAGGGCAGAGTTTAAATGGTTTGAGTTATTTTGTCTGGTTAGCGTTTTTTTAGCGAGTTAGGTTTCTACGGGATGGGGACGCTAACCCCATGCCCAACCCTCCTCCTTTACCCGGGCTTGGGACCGGCAGTAACTCTGGAAGAGCTACAGGCGGAGTTAGACTCGTATAGCGCTTGCTACAAACCATGACCTTGAGCCGACGCATGCGTCAAGGTTGTTCCAGACGTCAGAAGTTCCATAGCTGTGCCCTCAGGGCAGGATTCTGAAGAAAATAAAAAAGAGAAACAGCAGAACAGCAAGGCACTTGGATATGGACGCCAAACGTCGCTTAACATTGTGTAGTAGAACAGACAGAGGCATTATAAATTAGATTAAATTCGTATTATCTATTGTTAGAGTGAAATGAAGTCAGAGGCTCCATTCAGAAGAATGTAGTAATAAAGATTATTGAATTGTGATGTTTAACAAGTTGGAGTAAGCTCACGTGAAGGAAGAGAAGTCAAGGTCGGTACAAGGAAAGAAGTTTAATAGAAGGGAGTATGCATATAGAGGGTGGAAAGTTAAGAAAATTATAACTATATCTTTCATTGTCTGACATTTTCTTTCTTTTTTCGTCCATCCTACGTCCGCCACACAATCCTAGTGTAAAAGTCCGAGTTAGCATGTTATAGATTGTCTTAGCATAATAGCTAATCCATCATAAAATTGTAAAAACATGAGTCTCAGTGGTGAGCGTAGGAAAACAATCTTAATCACAGTCAACCTATGACATGTTAACTCGGATTTTTACATTAGGACTGTGTGGCTGACATCAGATGATATAACTGAAAATATCAGACAGGAAAAGAAATGGCTATTAGTGTTTCTTAACACACTTCATTCTAATAAATAGCCCTCTCTATCCTAACTTTAACTTCCATTCCATCACTTGGACCCACTCCATCTTGTCGCAATTAATTTTTCTTCATTGCTGAGTTGTCATATCTGAAGGCTCCAACCACATTTTGCTTTCGCAATAAAAGCTAGTATTAGCCTAATCTACTAATTTAAAATAGCTTTGTCTGTTCCCCTACAAACTATTAAGCATTGTGTTAACGTTCATATTCAAGTGCCTTGCTGCTCCTTTGTTTTTCTTTTTCAGTATCACGCTCTGAAGGCACAGTTATAGAGCTTCTAACGCCTGAAACAAGTTAGATGCACGCGATTTTCAAGGTCATAACTTATAGCACGCACCCTTTCAACTTTATAACAACTATAAATTCAAAATGCATATTGAGTAGAAACTTAGCACAACCAGGTTTGTAACACAATAATGTCGAGTTTGAGCCTGATGTGCAACGTGGACGCAATGCCGTCTTTGAAAAATATTTTAAAACCTGCACTCATAGTGCATTGCTAATACATAAACCTAATCATTGACGCTTCGAGACATCTACACGAATGTACCGTCTTTCATTTTTATTGATTTTATTTATTTAACATCCTTACTCGGGAAGCATGCTGTAAGTAAACCAATGTTGTAAATTATATGTCACGCCTGTAAAAATGGCTTATGTCTGCCTTGTCAGAAATATATAATATTTATATTATGGAGCCTGTATTGCTTGGAGTTCCTTAGAAACTGGAATTCACTCTGAGAAGTGTGAGAGATGCAGTGGGGTCGTTAAGACCTTTTCTCATAAGTGATTATGATAGAGTACCGGCCAATCCTATTACAAGCTTCACACACTGTAAGGAAACACCGTTTCTGTAGGTACCATTTCACAAGCCTATCAGGCAGTTACCAATTATGAACCATGTATAGGACAACTATGCAAGGCTTTAAACGACTGTAGTATGAAGTATGGGTTGCCAGTCGAAGTATGAGCATAAAGAAGGGTATAATGCAGAATAGATGTTTACCGAATTAGGAGGAAATGTATCGGAATATAATGGTCATTGATAAGGTAGTGGTTGATGAAATAAAATTAATGGTAAGTCAACATAGTGCACATAAGACTAGAAAGCTGTTGAAAAGTAGAGAAGAACGAACTCACTTTAACTTAGAGATGGTGTTTTTGAGCCATCTTATCCGCATGGTGCGTCACAAGCTCCATAGTTGCAAGACCACTGGTAGTAGGCAGGAGATTGTGCATAATAGCATCAAGATAACCAGTTAATTAGTTTACAAGACTCCAATTACTCCACTGTTCCAAAGAATCACATTGAATTCTAGAACCTTGTGTTTAGTATGCTACAAACGATTTGTCATCATTCCTTGTCAAATAATATTCGTGGCTACAAACCAGGCCATAAAAGTCAGTTGTCACAGGCACAGAAGCACATATTTTACAAAACTGCCTGATGAATCCAACTTCAGATGGCTCCATACTGTGACTGATTTTCAAGTATCATTCTACTTCAATACACATTTGCTTCAAAGATATGTACACCATCTCCATTCCGTTCCAGAATACCAGTACCTGAGAGAACAAACATTATTGTAAAACCGAACACTGATTACGTGTTACTGTACCTTTCCTTCCTATGTCTAAGCATTTCGTTAGAGAATTTGAGCATTTCAGGTTCGACCAATTTTACTTATTTGTTTGTCCTTTGAGATAAACTCTTTATACTAGACACTATAACATCACAAACATTAATAACCCCCGAACCGATTGCTTGCCAGTTAGTCATCGAATGTAAAGGCGAATAAATCCTCAAAATAAATAATTCTATGAGTCTTTGACATTGGAAATGACCACTTCAGTTCTAATGAACACATCCTAGCAGAAGGCGTTCAGTGATCCATCCGCACCAAATCATGAGTGGGTACGCCGTGCTAGGCACGACTTGTAACTACCACTCAGCTTGGACCAAGCCCCTCCCAACAATATCGACAGCTTTCTAAATATATCAATGAACCCTTTTATTTCCGAAATCTGATTTGATTGGGTTGGCAAACTTCGATCATAAGGATGTTACGTGTAGAGGCGTTGTCAAAATCCTATATCATGCGGCATTTTGGTGACTTGCCTATCAAACTGTCGGCAAGCAGCATTTTCTACCTCAACGCGTGATTGAGGCTCCATCTCTCGACAGATTTAAAAATCATTCAGATCAACAGGGGAGTACTAATCACCACGACTAAAACACGGAATCTACCCTAACCGAAACTAATGACCGGAGATCCGTTCTACACACTTTTTAATCAATTTACATATTAAACCAGAAATTTCGCTCAAAAATCTAAACATTGATAAGAGGTACAGCCGCATAAACCGATAAACGTTTGATTTTGTACGCAAGCGTATTTTGTTTCGTTTTTACTGATATCTCATTCATTTGTACCGCGATGTTTGAAAGTCGTCGGTGATGAGTGCCGACTGGTCAGGTATGGTAGTCTTTCTCCTTTCAGTCTTTTCCTATATGTTGAAAGTAAAAGTGTCACTATGAAGATAAGATTTCCTGTGTGATATGCATGATAGAGTTTAACTTTATCACATAGATAAATACGTTCATTCAAACTATCCAAAAATTGATTCATTTTCACAAAGGTAACATCGCGGAAATTTGCTAGTTATGCATGGCCGACTAAGCGTGTCAATGAGTCTTAAATACAGTCTCTTTAAGTCACTGCTCACCATTGCAAACCGCACTGTAGTCTTGACTACTCCTTGTATGTTCTGACCTTACTTTGTCTTAGAATAGTGGTTTCTCAGGCTTAGCTAACGCGCTTCCAAATCAATTAAATCAGCACCGTCGATTTGTGTTACGTTTTCCCCCGAAATTCAACAATATTCTGTCCTCTGACTAATATTCTTAAAGACCTCTGTTTTTGTTATTAACTTGTTTACTAGTTACAAATTCAGCACTTGTCTTAATTGCTGATAATTCAAAATTTAAGTTACCGACTACGACCTAAAAGTTTTTGTTCTAATCTGCGCCTGGGGGCGTAGGATATTAGCGCTGAAACATGCCGATGTTCGTCTAAAAGCACATTTAGGTATAACTGCTCCCTTGGTTTGTGATAAGTGTGGTAAAGTCCCTTGATACATGGTTAAGATATCCGAAGATTAAACAACAAATTCCACAGGTTACCGGTCATTAGGGATCCGGTAATGGGTTGTTGCCCTTACTGGAGCTCATACCGTCCCCAGCAACGTTTTGTTTTTATTTATTTATTTGAACTCAAACATAATGACAAAGGGGCATCAAATACATATGCACTGCACAAGTCAATTGTCTTGTGTATGCGCTGTGGTACCGCCTGGGTTCCCAGACCGAAACAGGTGGTTTTCTTAGGGGGCCACACCCGGAGCCTTTGACCTCAAGGTCTGACCCACAAGGCAGTGGAACATCGTGAGGAGATGCAGTCCATGGTAGCCGGTGACCAACGATTGGTTCATACGCCATTTGTTCCTTCAGGATACTGGAGCCCATATGCACCTGTGGCTTGGAATGAGGGTTTTCCAACTCCCCTAGGCGAACTCTCCGTGTCCACCGACCTGGTTAGAGAGCCGGATATCCGCAATTTCGTAAACAACAGTAATACCGCGATATGGTAGTGAGTAAAATTTCTCTTTCAGTGCCATGTGAAAGCACTTCGAGAAAAGCTAATTCTTCTCGACCGTGGGCCGTTTTTTTACTGAATGGTATTCAGTTTGTGATACGTTATTTATTCATGTAACATTCAATTAAAATTATTCATAAGAAATCGTGTTTTTCCTTTAAAAATAAACCTTGTTACATTTCCTACCATATTATAAAATGAAAGGAAATCAAGCTTATATTTACTTCAAAAAAATGACACCAGAATTCTGGTGATTGTGAGATCTTATGTAGACGATTTATGTAAAACACGGCATTGTATGTGGTGCTTCCAACTACTATTGTCCGATCCTAAAAATCTCGTATAGGCTTCAATCAAGCATGACCAGTACTCATACCTTCAATACGTTCGTGTGTTGTACCGATAGTTCGCTACTTCGTTTTCAATACTGTGGACGAAACTATCTTTTTCTTAGCCGTTAACTAGAGTGAAGACAGTTTAGCAGATGGCGCTTTTTAATGTTGACCCAGTATGATGAATTAGAATACATCAAGTTTATCGATTATTTATCAATAAAAACGATCAGAATATTTAAACTATTTGTCATTAAGGTGAATCTTAAAACCTAGTGAAATTCCACGAAGTGTTCACACTAAATTTACTGCGCCAAAACTTCAACCTAATGGGTATGGATTTGCTTTTCATAAGTTGCAATTAGGAATCGTACACCAATCTTTCACTATCAATTTATTATTACACAATACTTATAATCCATACACTACCTTTTGTGACGATTTTGAAGTCCTCTAGGTATTTTAGGTGGAGTTTTGTTCTCTGAGCTGGGTGGTTTAATCATGGGATTTTCATCGTTCTTCTGAACGACGTCACCAGCATAAAATTCAAGTAGAAGTTGTGTTCGGATGTCTCCACACCCGCATTTCTCTGCCATCCAGCTCAGAGAAGAAAACCACCTAAATCACTCAATGGAGCTATAAATCTTCATCTCTTGGTATTTTGCCTGTATTTTAAGTCAATGTTGCTATTCAGGAATGACATACGTTCCATACTTTTTAACCAAAACTACGTCTTAATTAAACTTCCGATTAGCTACCAAATAGAGTTGATAAGTTAACAAGAGTGTTCGCGTGATTATCCCCTTTATTAAGTCCTGAAGAAAGCCCTACTGATTGTACCGGAAAATCTAAATAATTCAATAACTGCTGTAGGTCCGAACTTCCTGGTGAAAGTATGACACTATTTAGAAGTAAAAGTGAAATATTTTGAAAATAGTGGATTTTATGTAAAATATTGGTTCCTAGACATTTAGTTAATATCCTAAGTGCACTACTGATCATACTCAAAAATTTATTTCTCACTTTAGACTTTAATACTTGTGTTTATGACATGAATTTGAAACTTCCAACATAATAACTTATGGATGTCCAAACTGGCCACTGTGAGTGGGTTGCTTCGTCTAATACAAATACATCTACGGAAGGACTCATTAGCTCTATTGCTAACCTAAGTTTCGAAGAAACCCGTTTGCTTTGGGGAAACGGTTATGCTACTGTGTCTACTCAAGATGCTCTTGGGAACCGCCCACCATTCGGTTCAACACCATGGGATATGTCTTCAAACCATACCATTTCAAATTCCATACCAATGGTTCGCGGTCGGCGCGACAAACCCAACAGTACAATCCCAGAACCTAATCTGAGTGATGGGAGTATTTTGATGTCTCCTGGATCTAAGGATATGGTGGCTTTGGGGATGCAGATGGCAGACCACGTTTTAAGTAACTCACCAGGAAATAATGGTAAGTTTTAAAATAAATAATAATTGTTTTTTTCGCAGCTCAGTTCTTGAGAGACATTTCTGAAAACTTGTCAACCGCCTTTCCTCATCGTCCAGCACCTAATTCACTCAATGGGTCCCAATCTGTTGCATTAAATTCTTATCAATATGATTCAAACGTAAGATCAATCCTTCCAAATGAGTCAGATGCTTTGCATCAAAATCAACCTCTTCAGTCTGGAGCTAATGGATTGATTTCAAATTGCTTTAATCCAGCTCAATATTATATGCGTCCACCCTCAGCTGCAACACAGTCTTTACAACAAGTACCTTATTCGATTATACCTAATAGATCATCGGAATATGTGCATGTAAAAAGCTTTACCTCAGAAGCAATTAGTTGCGAACCTTGCAATTCCATTCAAGCTGAAAACTTAGTACCATATTTCATCAACGTTCCAGCAAATACAGATCCTTCAGCGTCCAACATACCTGCAGAGTCTTTCAGTATGTTTACTGGCTCCCATTTACATCGAGATCAAAATCCAGCAAGCCAATCTGATAATACAACCCACTTAGTTCCTATAATTCCCCAAACAAATCGCATCAGTAGTTTACATCCTATGAAGTATGATTCCACAAACGCTAACGAGGAGCATAAAAACCAATCATTTAATCCTTACTTAGGTGGTGCATTTTCTGGTGTAAATCAATTAAACACATGCTTAGATTTTAATAGTGAATTTATGACAAACCCTTCGTTTATAAGTCATGTTTCTTTAGCTTGTAGTGAAGGCTACCTACCAACATTTATTCGGTCTAATGGGCCGCCCTCACAGGACATAAATAATTTTGGAGGTTGCTCAAGCTATCCTTCTGTAAATCAAGATTTTTATATGCATGGACCTTATAATAATCTCGGAAGCAACAGGACGGTGGAACATGCATCATCTGAGCATACAACTAACGGACTAGTTACAAATTCTCCTTATGGTAAGTTTTTTCTTTGGGAAAGATAAATCCTAAGGTTTTTCGTAACTGGATGTAGTCGTCCGCTTTGACCGCAATTCATATAATGTACGTCCTAGCTGTAACTATAAGGCGACACTTGATATTTGGACTTGTCGATAACATCGCCCCGTTTGGCCTTCTGTGGTTCAGACAGTATTTTATTTCAAATCCAGGTAGCTCAGTGGCAAAGCGAAAACAGTTACTGTCTCTGTTTAAATAATTTTGTCATTAAAATTCAAAGTTGTAGTTAATCGTTGTACTTGAATGTAAAGACCGTGAGATACTTCTCTTGAATGATCACTCTAAATCTGGCAACGGTTGGCTGTAAAAGCCGATAATAAGATATTTATTTATTTTAACACATAAATATCGGTACAAGAAGGCACCAAATACATATGCGCCACACATATCTCATTTGATATGTGTGAGGGCTGTGATACTGCCCGGGTGCCCAAACCGAAGCAGGTGGTTGTCTTAGGGGGCCACACCCCGAGTCTTTGACCTGAACGTCTGATCCACAAGGCAGTGGAGCATCGTGAGGAGATGCAGTCCCATGGTAGCCGGTGACCAACGATTGGTTCATACGCCATTTGTTCCTTCAGGATACTGGAGCCCATGTGCACCATCGGTTTGGGATCCGGTTAAAGCGCCGGACATTCGCTTTTCGTCCTCTCATTTTCGTAAACAACCCTGCCACGAGAAGGCAGTGAGTAGGACTTTCCTGGCAGGGGCTGGATACGCGTGGCCATATGAAAGCATTTCGAGAGGGGGAGCGGACTCTCCCCACTCTCGGCCGTACCAGGGCATTTGGGGGCGATAATAAGATATACGAGTTCGTGGACGAGTAAAACAACACAACTTAGTAAAATGAACTGTGTATATGTATACCCAGTTCCTCAGGTTCTTCAAAAAGCGATCTTCGGTATACAATCAGCCAGTCACAAACAATGTGACATCTGGACCGAGTTGCCACAAGTTGTTCAAGAAAAACTGGAAAATATATCCTAGAAAGGAAAAATTCCAAGTATATGCTTACCGATATCATATCCCTTTTCTAGTGTTTTGTGTTGCTACCGGCTTCCGACTGACCTATCATGTATGTCGACAACAACTTTTTATTTGATTTTAGCCAAATACAAACGCATTTTACAAAAAACATTAAGCGGCATAATTGTAGTTCAACTGATGCTTATAAATGAATAATTTAAAGAAGTTATGTTTAGTGTACAATAGCATACCAACTCAAGTCCAGCGGAAAAACAGTAATTTCTCAGATTATCTCACATTAGAATTAACACTACTTAGCTGTCCCGGTAAAATTATAAACATATACAGAATTTATTCTTTCATCTCGAATTATATTGTCTTTGTCCAATATTTTCTATTACCACTGATACTACTCTGACCCTCATTTTGGTAATTTCATCTTGTTGTTGAGATGTATTATAAGAATTTGGTCCGGTACATATTTGTGCATGATTATTTGTAGCGCATGACTGACTGATGTTGCTTGCACATGTATTGCGTATATGGGTGTTTCAGACTGAACAATTTTAGCCTTTTCCAAAGGTTACGATAGTTGGGGGCTTTGTTTGTTGTGCGTATAATATATATCAAAACGAGTGAAAACAAGAAAATGACCACGTATAACTTTTAGAAAGAGTTTAAATACGCCAGTCAACATTAGGACTATCAATTCAATCCTTCAATGGCTAGAAAATACAGTATATGAAACCAGTCAGTTAGTTAGACGCAACGCGAAACTGCACACATGTGCACGGGTCCAAGTCGCCACATGACATCGGCACAGCGAGATACCAGGACGGTATCACAAGCTATAGCATTGATGTTAGTAGAAATGATTTGGGGAAAAACATGGACCCTTGAAAGAAAGCATAAAAAAGGTAACTAAAAAGCTTGGAGTCTAAAAAGATGTGTTCAAACTCATGCGGAGGTATTACATTTAAGGACAATAAATAAGTAAAGCAGCTGATAGTGGAACATGCGAGTATTTCACGTATTATCGTCAAAAGTAAACACCTAAAGAGCTTGTTGTACTCATCAATACATTTTTGCATGGTATTTTTTCGTGCTTTCACATTTGTTCAGGTCCCGTACAATATGGGCCACAAAAGTTTCCGCACACTGTCTACCCTAGAGGTGTATCTCCAGCTCCAGGTGACCAACTGAATATACAGGTATCTAATTGTGCTGGTGTAAACAACTATCCAATGCATCCAGCTGATACTATGGTAAACACGTTGGTGGGGCCGCAATTTCTCGGACCATCAGCGAATGGTCATGCACAAAATGGGGCTGGTTTTCAAAATTTACCTGCCAGCGGTTTATATCAATCTCTTATTCAATCTAAAGATCCTTCTATACATATTCAGGCTCAAGCTGTTCAACCTGTTTCAAACGACCAACAACAACAATCTGCAGCCTTATTCGCACACACTCTTCAGTTGTTTGCAGCTGCCGCTGCTAGGAATATGGGTTCTGGAACACACGATCTTCATGTATCTGGTGTTGGGTCAAGTAACAGTGGATCTGTATTAAATTCTGTTGATTTTGAGTGTTTAAGGCCCCCAGGTGTAAGTGCAGAAGTTTCACTTACTGCACCCATTCTACCAGATCATTTGCAGGTAATCTGGATTAGAACTTATTTTCTGTTTTGTTTTGGTATACAAATTCTAATATCAAGCTTCTGTGAGGTCATATGGCATTTATTAGGAAGATCAGTTCCTTGTAACAATACAGCCTATAAAATGTATAGTGAATACAAAGTGTCTTTACACAGCGGTTCGAACTTAGTGTATAATAATCATTTTCCTTCATCATATTCTTGTTTCCTTGTTTGAATTTCCTGGTAGAGAATTACAAAAAACAGTAAAGTTCGGAACTTTCTTTTATAGAAAATTTGGGTAGTTTAACTGACTGATTTCCACCCGGAAACATACAATGTATTATCTATATCAATGCTAAGGCTGGACTTGATAGTTTCAAATAAATTGAGCACGGAGTAGAAAGTTGATGATAAATATATTTTTTGTTATATTCCAATAATTAGAAAATTGTATTTCTGATGTTTCGTGACTCAATGTAAGCCACTTCAAAGTATATAAATAACAGAGTTAAATTAATACAAGTTTAAGTAGTATTATTTAGACTTGTGTTAATTTGGCTCTTTATTTACTCTGAAGAAGTGGCTTACATTAAGTTATGAAACATCAGAAATTCAGTTTTTCTACTCATTGGGATATAACAAAAATATAATTATTATACAGTGTATTATGTTGTTGTCCTAAATAACCCATAATTTTAAACTTCAGTCAATGTTTAACTGTAGAAACATTTCGGTGATTAAGAGGGTACATTAAGTCACTGTTAGATTTGTAGTTGTTACCGAATGCTTTCATAGGTTTTATTTTAACAATCACATTCTTGGGTTAACTTCCACGACTGCTCATTCTTGATTCTTATGGAGATTGTCTTTCTACTTCCATGATAATTGATTACTATATGTTCATCAGTGACATTGGTTTTTCAAACTCCCCTATATGGATCCTCTATATCCACCAACCCGGTTAGTCAGCCGGACATTCGCTTTCCGTTCTCTCAATTTCGTAAACAACAGTAATGCCGCGAGAATCCAGTGAGTAGGACTTTCCTGGCCGTGGCTGTATACGCGTAGCCATATGAGAGAGCAGTTCGAGAAGGAGAGCTGACTCCCCACCCTCGGCAGTACCAGGGTATTTGGGGGACCAAATTGTTAAGGAAATATTGATTCGATTCAAGTCACCCGAGTATTATCAAGTTGCCACGATGAATAATTGATTTAATTTAAAGAAAATTAGATACACAATAAACAGTAATCCGTTGAATGATTAGTTATTTGATGTATTTATGAAACATTAATAAAACTGGCAACTATGATTATTTCATTCATATTCCATTCTTATCTCGTCATCAATCTCTTTAGGCGTATGCGAGTAATTCTTGTGTTCCTGTAAATGCAATGGAAAGTTCGGGTCCCCGTCATCCCCATTCCACCTTGGATTTTAAGTCAATGTGCTCAACGGTTCCTGCTCCTTTCCCACCTAACTCATCATCCATTCACTCACAAAATATTTTTCCACAAACTGATGTAATTACTCAGGAGTTTCAGCATGCTGGTTTAGGTTATACCGGGTTGTCACCTATGAATTCCATGGGTGATCGTTTTCTTCGACCTTCCAATACTTTCACAAGACCCACACCACCATTGTCTTCCAATCGTATGCCTTATATTCCTGTGAGTGTTACAGACTCTCAATCACCTCCTAGAACTCCGACTACAATAATTGGCCCAAGAATTAGTGTGCCACCAGTCCCACCGAGACCTCAAATAGCTACTTCAACTATGTATACTTGTCAAAATAATGGTCCACCTCCTTTTTCTTCCATGCATACACCACGCTTTCCTTCACGCGGCCCAACTAGTTATCCACAACTAAATTTGACACTCATGCCTCCACCTCTTCCTCCTTACCCTCATCATATTCATCAACCACCGCCTGTTCTTCCACCACCTGGATTTCTACCACCAGCTCATTCCTATCGCCCTCCTGGAACCAGTAGCTCTTCTGTCCCACTTAATAATACATCACCTTCAGGAAACAAGCCTGTTAATAACAGAGTTCCAAAAGATCACAATCACTGTACAACACTGCATCAACCTAACACCCCTGTGTCTGTGATGACACTCACGTTTGCAGCTGCTCAGCAACAAAGCTCAGGAGTAAATCCTACTTTCGGGATAAGGCATTCATCATCCAACCAAACTTCTCATTTTCCACCTCCGTACTATGGTTTTTCTACTGATTCAACTGCAACTCCCACTTTCCAACCAAATTCTTCGTACCTTAGTCATTCTAACCCACCGTTACACATTAATAATATGCCGCATTTAAGACCGACTAATGATGCTGCTCCAGAGCGTAGTCGTTTATTGGAAGAGTTTCGGTATGTTTTCAATTATCTAATTTCATTTTTTTCTACTGTTGATTTTTATCTTTGCTGAATCGGAAGCTGAACAGAAATAAATTCAACCAGTCCGAGCTGAAACAGGAAAAATACTTTCGCTAGTAAATTACAAATTAGTAACTATGGTTTAAACAATAATGATTCAAATTACACCTACTCAGCCTTGTTTACGTAGATCACTTGTCTTCAATCATATGATTTAGATTCGTCATCACAGGTTTCTGTGATAAATTTGAAAAAAAACATTATGTAAAGTACTGGACTTGTTTTCTCCAAACAGCTATCAAAAGTCAGTCATAACTTATTGATATGTTGTCAGTTATGTTATCCAGTATGCTCTAATGTGGTTAAAGTTCTTGGAAATCATCCAACAATGTTATAATGTCAACGTTGGGTTCATTTGTGGTGTTTCATAGCTAACTGTCAGATTGTATACCTGAAGTTCTCAGCCGCAGAAACAAATAGTGCATATTTTACACAAAACTCTCTTAATTAATTTAAAGTTGCATTCTTGTTTCTATCATGATGACGTGCTGACATATTTGGATGCTCATAAATCATATGTTGGTTAAGCCGTAAAAGTTGGGTTTATTGTTATCAGTATAGAAAGTATATGATCCTACCACTTACCAAATGCACTTCATGTTAGTTAATGTATACTAACTAAAATAATTAACTACTTCAGTGAAATATAAATATGCTGTTCGGGTAGGCGTGACTGGTTGTTGCAGTGTGTTCCATTCCTATGAGTCATAAAGATTTATAATGTAATAAAGGGCTTGCTAGTTTCTAACTCCCTTTACCTTCGAACGATTTAATATACTTGGTGAAATCGCCAAATGTCTAGTTTTGTAATTAAACAAAACTATTTTAATCAAGATCATGAACCGATTGTTGTTAGACCATTGAAAACCTGGAAGCGCTGAACGGCCATGTCGTCCTATTGCATTTTATATAATTAGATGGTATATGTCGGTAGATAATATTTTTCGAGATGATAGTTTCCTACTCATAATTGACCATATCAATGGAAAATGCAAAAGATCGATAAAACCTGGATTATGTCAACCTTTTGTGACATTTGTTTATGAATTGACTGACAGTTAATTCAGTTCCCACATTTTATTTTCTCATATCACTCAACAAATACTAATGACAAAGTTTATCCTGGCTTATAAATCCCATGATGTAAATATTTTTCTGAATTTTTTTTAGTTAATTATCGAAAGATAATGCAACTTAAATGAATCCAACCTGCTGTATTTAATCTAGTTGCGATTTTTATTACCTTCTCGTCTTTTTATATTCTAGTTATTTACAAGATTTCTCTACAAGCCATGCATCTAATCCATTTAATTTCTATTCTCCATTTAGTAATTCTCGATTGCCTTGTTTAACATTGCATGATTTAATGAATCATATCGTGGAATTTGCTCAAGATCAGTATGGTTCACGTTTTATTCAACAGAAATTAGAACAAGCTAGTGTTGTAGATAAAACTAGTGTGTTTCGTGAAATTCTTCCTTATGCATACAATCTAATGATCGATGTATTTGGAAATTATGTAATACAGAAATTTTTCGAATTGGGAACACCAGAGCAAAAACAAGTAAGCTTGATCCATTCTCTACATCTTTTTTTACTACTTTTTAAACACTTCTCTCATTGATTGTTATCCAAAGCTTTTGTGATCAATGCATATTTTGTTGATTGCTTCATGTTTACCATTCAAATAACGTACTGTTTTACATTCATCGAAAACATTTTTGTTTTGTCAAGTTCATAATTATAATTTGGATCTGAACTTAGTTTTTACTACATAATAACAACTTTTGCACTCTCAACTTTATACAGAAATAGTCACTACACGATTTCTGGCTTTGGTTAATTCATTATAACAGATTGATGTTATCCGTTCCACATCTATCTTAATTGGCTCTAATAGGGTTTTGAAAACTGGGTAGCATCTCTAGCCCGTTACACGAACAGTTTAGCTCATAGCTTAGTGAATAAAATCGTACTTGCTAATTGAGTTATGTTGTTATGGTTGATTAACTGATTTCAATCCAATATCATCTTTCAGCGAGACGTATCCACATAATCAATTTCTTAAATTATCTAACGCAATAGATGGTACATATAGCATAAAAAATGATCCCATATATTCGCCTTCTTTCATATTTCTATGGGTTTTGGGTAAATTTTCAACAACATTTCAGTAATGACACGAATAATTTTCATTACGTATATATTCTTTGAATTTAGTTCCAAATTAATGTTGTTATTTTAAAATATATTTTCATGTATTAAAATTAGGTGATCATCATCTGAGTAAAATTTAAAGATGCTCTTTATATCTGTATATGTGTAAATCAACTCTCTGTAAAACCCCGATAGCACTAGTAATAATATGTATATCTTAGTTGAAATTGATCCTCGCTGACAAACTTTCAAATGAGGTTATTAGTATCCAGGGTATTGTTTAGTCACTAATCTTTCCTGTTATACCTTCATCTGAATAATATCAAACTATGAAGACTTGATTTCTCAATAGCAGAAACACAAAACGGTTGTGTTTCTGATATGCCCTTCGTATTATTATGTTTGGCCTCAAAAGCTTTGTAGAGTAATTGTTACCTATAACAACTTTATGTTATGCTAAACAGTTCAATGCATTAAAAATGAGCTTGATCACCTCAAGTCACTTGACATTCATCACACAATTGTTTCTTTGCTTGATATTCATTATTGATTTGTTACACTATTTATGTTCACAAGTAAAACTTCGTTATAATAGTGGGAATAATATAGTTTTTAGTTTCAGTCTTCACATCAATATTATCCTCTCAACTAATTTTTCTGCTGCACTCTAGATACTAGCTCAGAGGATACGTGGACAAGTTTTGTCATTGTCCCTTCAGATGTATGGTTGTCGTGTCATACAAAAAGCTGTTGAGTCTGTCCCATTGGAAATGCAAATATCAATCGTTAAGGAACTGGATGGATGTGTGATCAAATGTGTGAAAGATCAAAATGGAAACCATGTTGTACAGAAATGCGTGGAAAATGTCCCTCCAGAACACTTACAGTTTATTGTAGACGCTTTTAAGGATCATGTAAGCAGTTTGTGAATAAATTAAAAGTTTTACTCGATATCTCGATAAAATTTTTGTAAGGTCTTCAGGTTTTTTTATTGTTCAATTCATGAGTCAATTGAAGCTAGACCACTATGGAAAACCTGGAAGCACTGGAAGGCCGTTTCGTTCTAGTATGGGTCAGTCAGTGGTCTTGAGTGCTGTTAGAGGTATGAGGGCGGTTATCACTTCCCGGTTGCCCACACCGTGGAAGGGTTCTGCTGGAGGTACCTGAAAAGGAAATTGGATTAGAGGTGGTCATAGTGACCTGAGAGCGTGACCGCAGCGCCCAAGGGACAGCTGCTTGAGGTCGGTCACACACGACCTTTTTATGAGTAATTTTTGTGTTAGCTCCGTACTTGTTGAGACTTTACCGCCGGAGACGGATATCCGTGGGATAAGGCGAGGTGTGCATTTTTAGGGTCGACCTTTTCTAACCCCTCCCCTCCTTTTGGGAAGGCAGCATCGCTGTTATGCTGGTTGTCTGAAGGAAACACCTTACTGCTGTCACACCTCTGTACAGTCAGCAGTACGACTTCGCCTTCGGACCTAGGTTTTGTTGCTTTTAGTCTTACCGCTCTTCAACCGACCTGTCTGGCATGGTAGGACCTTGAGGAACGGTTGTTCCAGCCAGTATAGCTCAGTTGCTTCATCACGATAGGCAAGCCCAACCATCACGTCAAGGTAGCAACAACAGTCAGGTACTCTTCAGCAGTGCGCATCCACGATCCCGCAAGTTTTTTATTTCAATGTTTAAAGTCGAAAACAATATAACGGGTTCATCTGTATCTATTCAGATTGTTTGCATTTTTTAAAAGAAAGAAGTTAACTCCTGGCATTGTGCTTAATGTAAATATTTTTATTATCCTTATCCGTCGCACCAATTTTCCGTACTCTAGATACCACATACAAAAGGAATTGCTATACCTCATAATTTCTTTCCCTAATGTAATGAGTCATTAATGACAACAGCCTGATTAGTCAGTTGACACTACTTTTAAAAAGAATAATTTAAAAAATGTCACTGAAATCATGGACCAATCAATGTTAGACCACTATAGATCGTTTCATGATTTCAATAAAATTCAACTATCTCCACAACTTCAAACTGAATAAAGATTAATTATCTTAGTTAAAGCTTTCTGTTTGTTAAAGAATTTATATTATCAGAACATGTGAGTTACATCATTTGTTCTGAAGTTACTTGTAAAATAGGCTAGATGAATTTCGCCATTCGGAGCATCCTCAATGTGACGTCCAACTTTTAAAATTTTAATAACATTGTACCAGAGATCAATCTAGTTTTGTGAATATATTCAAATAACATCAGCAACTATTTTAACCGAGTTCCATAATACAATTAACCATACAGTGTGTTAGCAGGATATAGATTGGATTAAGGCACGCTGGTCGTAGGATTGTGTTAGGACACACTGATTGGTTATTTCTTAACTAATCAGCGCTAGTGAATACTTGGAGAACCCTGTGGAACCCTCTCACGTAAAATCTACAAATATACTAACGTTTTTCTTATTGTGATTCCTGCTTTTATTCAACCTTTTTATTTGAAATATAGTTACGTTCCTGTTCAACCTTGTTTTGATTTGGGGACTTATCGAGTGAAGTAGTGTCGAAGCATACTAAGCAATAGAAGTAGCTAGGTCGTAACAAGAAAAATTATAACGCAGTGCAAACTCGGTTTTAGTAACGATGAATGCTCACCTTATGTGGTTTGAAGGCAAGCGTATATATAGCACTAACAGCTTACAATCTTCATGTTAAATGTCAATCCAGTTCAAAAATGGATTTTGATGTAATTTTTCACACCATTTACTCAATCTTCCGGATAATATTTACGATTTACTAGTAGGTGTGAGGTGTATTCAATGTATGTGTTTCTTAATTATATTCATTTAATATATAGTCCAGTATTAGCACCTACCATTCATCCTTAGAGAGAGTGTAGTCTCCTTCGTGAAAGTGACAGCCTAGTTGTGATTGAAAAAAACTCGCTTTGTTATTAGATTCCCAGTAATACTGAACAAAGTTTATAGCTTAGCACATAAAACTGTGTTCTGTCACTGCATTGTACAATATATCTGGGTTAAACCTATTTTATACTACTGCTCGAAATTCTAAAAACCAATCCTCCTATATAGCGAGTTTAATTAACATGTATGTATCAGTACTTTTTAGATTATATCACTAAGTAACATTTAAATATCCTAATTCATATTTTTATTTATGAGCATTTCCTTATTACGTAACAGTATTATTTATGTAATTTTTTGTGTCATATTTTATAAATTAAAGCTAAAATTATCACTAATACATGCCTTGTGTGTAAAATTTGATATTATCTTGCTAAATAAATGCTTCATAAAGTTCTAACTAACTGTTTTACATCATAAAGTACTTTTTTAATAGAATATTCCAATCTTAAATATAATTCTACTCTTCATTTTTGTCACTGATTTGTATAATTTAATGAAGTTTATTATTTGGATAGTGTAATAGATAGACGAAAATTTTCAGGACTGTGATATATTAGGCAATATATTGCAAACACTCTGATCACATATATATTTCAATGGTTGAGATCATGGAAAACCTGGAAGCACTGGACTGGTTAAAGTTAAAAATAGGAAGCCGACCCAGCGGTCTAGAGGTTAAGCGCTTGCGCGCTAGATTGATAGGTCTCGGGATTCGAATCTCGCGAGACGGGATCGTGGGTACGCACTACTGAGGAGTTCCATACTATGACAAAATGGCCGTTCAGTGCTTACAAGTTTTCCATGGTGGTCTAGCTTCAATTAACTCATGATGTCAACTATTGCAATTACTATAATATCCACAAAAACCCATCTGATATTAACCAATATATATATTTGTTAATATATCATGTGGTTCCAATAATTTTCTCTTTCTATTAGACTATCCAAATTTATCAAAAGGGCTAATTGCTGTAGATTTCTAAAAAAGGAGCCTATTGTATTTTATTTCATTGCATTGCTTGCTGTGCATTAATTCACGTCGACGTTTGTGGATGTGTTTTCTTCATAGGTATATTCGATATCTACTCATTCGTATGGTTGTCGTGTTATTCAACGTATTTTAGAGCACTGTACACCTGAACAAACTACTCCAATTCTCTCTGAGTTACACCAACACACTGATGCGCTTGTTAAAGATCAGTATGGAAATTATGTGATTCAAGTAGGTGGTGAAAATTTTGTTCTTAATATGATATACTGCTTCTTGTTTATGAAGTTATATGATGTAATTAAGAACATTGATTTGTCGTATACTCTTTTGGCACTTCTGAGATTTTCTATAATATTCACAGTAGTTTTGTCTTATTAGTAAACAAGTATCTACTTTTTATTGAATTTCCATAATTGGAATATATTTATAATAGAACCTATCTAAAAGTTTCACATCTTAATTGAGCAAAGCAAACACAATCGAATTTCTAGAATTATGCGATTTAGCTTATACAGATTATTGACATTTCTAAAGGAGAACGCCTAATACATATCTTATTGTAAATTCATCTTTATTTTCACACATACCTAATTTTAAGTACAATATTCTTTCTTTTTAGCATGTTCTTGAACACGGAAAAACCGAAGATAAGAGCCGAATTGTAGAACACATCAAAGGTCGTGTAGCTAAGCTGAGTGTGCACAAGTTTGCTAGTAATGTTGTAGAAAAAGCTGTTGCGAACGCTTCACGAGTTGAACGTCAATCCCTTATCAATGAAATACTTGAAGAAACTATGTTAACTGAAAATCAAATTGTACAAAATGGACAAAATCAATCTAGGGAATTTCGGGTGGATGATAGTTTTAGTGAGAATGATGATGACGATGATGATGAACCCAGAACGAGAAGTTCAGTTTTAGTTATGATGATGAAAGATCAGTTTGCTAATTATGTTATCCAGAAAATGTTAGATGTTGCTGAACAACCGATAAGGAAAGAGCTTATGATTCAAATTCGTCCACATTTAGGTATTTTACGTAAATATACTTACGGTAAACATATCATTAATAAAATGGAAAAATACTACATGAAGACAAATCAGCTACACTTGGCCGTTGGATTAAATTCTCCGTCACCACCTCCATCTGTAGATATTGTAAACGCTTCTTCAAACATCACTCAATCGAATTTAAATTCAGCGATTCGTAGTTGTGGGAGTACACATAGCAGTTCGGCTGCATCAATCCTTCCACCACTGTTAACTCCAACAGATATGGCTATTCGAGCTTCGAAGTCAATTTCAGTGAATCGATCCAGTCATTCACACCATTGTTATTCTAATCATATCTCTCACCATCCTCAGTCGTATTTATCTTCATTTTCGCGTAATGGTTTACCATCACATCGGATAAAACATAGAGAGTCTAATAATAGTAACTCAAATTCTCAGAAAGCTACAAATGAGGAAATACAAAGCAGTTCTACACTTATGTCTGATAGTACGAGTTCCTCCAAAGAGACGTTGGAAGTGCATAGAAGTTTTGATGGCGAGTTCTGTGGTGGTGATAATATTAGTTGCCCCAAAAATAAACATGAAAAACACAATTCCGAATTAGATTCATCTAATTTTAATCAAATACCAACGACTACGAATGAACGCTCCAATAGGAACTGTGACGATAGTAAAGGAAGAGTAAAATCATCAGATCCTAGCAGTACTAGTCATATGTATGAAGTAGTTAATGATGTATCAAGTGATTTTCGATTGTCATCAACAACAAAATCTAGTATGCCAACATCTACTAACGTCAAAATTAATGAAGTAGATGTTAATGGTGGAAAGTCAAGAAGTGTCGGTGAACTATTGACTAACGGTAGTGATCATTAATAACATTCGCTATGCCTTTTCCTCCCCCTTTTTGTCAATTTATGTTCTTTTTCTTAAATCGTTTCTTTCTAAATGTTATATAATCATCAATTAACCGTTAGGAAATTGCTTATTTGATAGTATCTTCCATGTTTTTGTATTTTATCAAGCTTCAATTCCTTGTGCAATGATCTATTTATCTCAAACCATTTTAAAAAGATTTCCTCATGTTCAGCGAATATCGTTCGCTTTCACGGACGATTTATTATGTAATGTTTTTTTCTTTATATTGTATTTTTTTTTTAAATTTCGACCTTCCATTGTCTCATGTATATGTATGTATAAGCTTTGATTTATCCTTTTCTTTTTTTCAATGCGAAGAAATGTATAAGACGTCCTTGTAAAATGTAACTTTTCGCTGTACGTGATGTTTACTGATTAATACATAAATGACGGGTCCAGGTTATTTATATACATACATTCTATTGTTGCGTTTCATTCTCTTTCATCCTACTACCCTATCGTCGTCAGTTGTGTTGTTATTCATTATATATATATATATATATATGTACTAACATGACTGATTCTGTATTAATGGTACACTTCGCTTGTTATTTCTTTCAGTGTATGTTGTTGTGTAATCAACTAAATATCCTTATACAGTAAAAAAATTTCAATTTGCATTCAATATATGTGCATCTACTGTAAATTTGACTATTCTCAATTATGAATCTATTGTATGCCGATTCGAGTTGTATTTATACATATACATATTTTTTAATAATCTTCACTTCATGTTAACCCTTTTTTTTTTAATTCCTGATGTCTGATCATCTTTGAATTGTGTATTCTTTTCTACAATAATAGTATGTTTGTATTTAGTTATTTATTATAACTATTATTATTATTACCATATTGGTTGAAGTCATTTTGTAGCAACTATCTGTTTAATCAAGCTTGTCTTTGTATACATTCTGTTCACTATTTTAACTTTTGTTTGTTTCACCTATGTGTGTGACAGTGTGTTATTATTGCTATAGCCCCCCCCCTCCAAGTTCCTGATACTTGTAATAATATGTATTTTTCACTGTTCTTTCACTACAAAAAATTAATCGTCTTCACAAATACAATGAATACATATATATTCTCTATTTATCATTTTGTTTTGTTTATTATTCTATCCAATCGTAACCAAATTGTCAGTGTTGGACATTAGTACCTTCAATCTAATTACATAATCTACTAATTATGTATTTGTTAAGTATATATTTTCTTTATTTGCACAATGATTCGTGCTAATTAAAGGCTTTTCGTTATATCTTGTTAGCTCAAGTTATCTAGTTGATTTCGCATCATTTTAGATATTTCATTAGGCTAACAGAGATTTGATATAATTAAAAAAAACCCAACAACTACAACTAAATGTTCACAATTAGACATTTGTAAAGTTATCGTAGGTGCTTCGATGGATTTTTAACTTGGATATATTTCGACGTAATAGGATTCATTTGAAGGGGAACAAAATCCTTTTGTTTTGCTTACTTATGCCGTATTAGTTGTAAAGCTACCTTTGGAGTCGTCATGTACCTCGATCTTTGACGACTATCATTTTGCTTTTAAAGTTTTCTGTGTTAAGTGTATTAGCTCTCTAAGTAAAACTAGTTATCGATTGTCTTTTTGATTGTATTCAGAATTCGTTTCCGTTGTAACGTAGAGAAAATAAAAGCAGCTTTAAGTATTGGTTAAGTTTTAATAAAACTAATGAACTTTCACTGGTGTCTGTTACATACTTTGAGTCGTCAGAAATAACCAAGATGACAATCAGTAGTGGTGTTATCAAGTTCAGATATGGTTGTATCTATAAAGGATGAGCTCGACTCAAAGCGATTATTCCTCTTAGTAACGATAGGAAATAATTGTGACTGGGCTAAATAGTATCAGTAACTTGTTCCTTGCAACGATTACTAGTCGTTTCGGAAAAATATTGAATATAGTTTACCAAATCACCTAGTGACCTGAAGCAAATCAAAGAAACCTCTTCTGACAAAACTAAACTGTCCAGTTAGTTTTGTAAGACTAAATTTATTCAACTGTCCCCGGAATATACTTATGTGAACCAGCTTCCTGGACAAAGTATTCCATCTCTGTCTACTATATCTAGAAAGCTAATAGCTATGTTAATGTCATGTCCATGAGCTGATCACCTGGAAATCTGTCAGAAAAAAGTAATTAACTGTCTAGTATGGGAAGAATATCTAACAGTTGTTTGACCACTGATTGTTTGCTAATTTCACGTTTGTCTAATGTTAATTGAATTTTAAAGATTATGTTGCAACGTGGCTATTGGTTTAAGTTGTTCGACATCGCGGTCAGTCTGTTGTAAATAACAGTCCTACATAAAGTCAGTCGTACGGACACCTCGTTGGTAACGTATTAGACTAACTCCGCCTGTTGCCTTTCTAATGTTACTTCCGGTCTCATATTCAGATAAAGGAGGGTCAGGCATGCAGTTAGTAGCTTCATGCCGTAGAAAACAACCTTGTTAAAAAATACTAACGAGGAAAAAACAATCTGAACTATTATGGTTCCCATCCTAACAACCAAAGCAACAGTCAACATAAATGTCCGAACAATGTGGAAAACTGAGAGGACCAGTCAAATAGCGACATAAATGAGCAGATACAATTTGACAGTACTCGGAATCAACGAAACCCATTGGACTTAAACTGGACAGGGAAGGTTACGTCAAAGAGAAATGTTGTGGTACTCTCGTCAAGAAGAAAATGCTCCGCACACATGGAGTTGCTACGGTGCTGTCCAAAGTAGCATGTAAAACACTTATAAAATGGCAATCTCACAGTGCTAGGATCATCAAAGCATACTTCAAAACAAAGAAGGGGACCACAGTGTTATACATCCACCAATGATAGCAATGAAGACGATAAAGATCAGCTTTATGAGACGCTGCAGTCGATGGTAGAGAAGTTCCCATAAAAGGACTTGACCATCCTGATGAAAGACCTAAACTTCAAAGTCGGAATGGACAGCACCGGGCATAAAGATATCATGGGACGACATGAACAGTGAGAAAGGAACGGGGTTTGCAAATCCATGTACATTCAACAAAATGGTTATAGGCACCACTGTATTCCCTCATAAATTCATACACAAAGCTACATGGGTTTCATCAGATAACACTATAGAGTACCATATATATCACATTATTATTAGCTTTATTAAATATTATATTTTTAGTACAATATAGAATCCTCGACCCAGTATTTCAGCGAGCTTCCATTCCTTACTTTTTGATCGATGTTGCAACACTGAAAGTTTCAGAAAGTCAATGGAACACGCGAGAACCAAGAGAGGAGCTGATATAGCTTCAGATCACCACCTGGTGATTGCAAAAATTAAACAGAAGCTGAAGAAACAATGGACAACTGGAGAACCAGCATTACTAAGGTTTAATAAAGCCTTCCCTCGAGATACTGACAAACCCAACTAATTCAATGTAACTCTCAACAACAGGTTCCAAGCCTTACAAGATCTATTCAAAGAAGAGGAATCTACTATGGAAAACAACTGGGATTAGATTATAAAAACACTAACTTCAACGTGGCAGGAGGTTCTAGACCGCAAGAGGCATCATCATAAGGAATGGATCTCTATCGAAATCCAAGGTAGGATTCAAGGAAGGAAGAACAAGAAGGCAGTAATTAACAATAGTAGGACAAGAACAAACATAGTCAAAGGACACGCTGAATCAAACAAACAAGTGGACAAGAACACTAGAGTCGACAATTAGAAATAAGTGGAAGAGCAAGCAAGGCAAGTCAATCACTGAAACTCAATAATGTAGGAACAGATGGATGGAACACTTCGAAGAACTCTTGAATAGACCAGATCTATTCAATCCATCGGATATTGAAGCAGCACACACATACCTCCCGATAGCTGTTACCCCACCAACCAATGATCGAAGAAATCAGCATGGCAATCAGACAAATCAAGAGTGGCAAAACACAACGACCTGACAACATATCAGCTGAAGCATTCAAGTCAAACATAGGAGTAACTGCAAACATGATCCACGTTCTATTCAAGGGGATTTGTGAGGAGGAACAAATGCCACCGAGAAACTGGAAAGAATGATACCACATCAACATACCAAATAGAGGAGAACTGAGCAAATGTGAGAACTACAGAGGCATCACGCTACTATCGATACTAAGAAACGTTTTCAACAGTGTTGCTGAATCGGACGAAAGACTCAGTAGACCTTCAACTATGAAAACAACAGACCGGATTCCGTAAGTGTAGGTCGTGCACAGACCAAATCGCAACACTACGGATCATCGTTGAACAATCAATTGAATGGGACTCGTCACTATACATCAACTTCATTGCCTATGAAGTGATTGACAGCGTGGATAGGAAAACCTTATTAAACATTCTTCGACACTATGGTGTACCTAAGAAAATTGTCAACATCATGCAGAGTTCCGACGGCAGACTTCACTGCAAATTCGTGCATGGAGGACAGCTGATAGACACATTCCAAGTGAAAACCGGTGTCAAACAAGATTGGTTATTCTCCACTTTGTCCTTCTTCCAGTGGTCTACTGGATTATGAAGACCTTCACATATCAGACGGATCGCGTGATACAGTGGATAGTTTGGATGCGACTAGACGGTTTGGAATTCTTAGATTTTCTTGTTCTTCTATTCCATGTACAGCAACAAATGCAAGTCAAGACAACCAGTGTACCAGAAGTCTGCAACAGTAGGCCTCAATATACGCAAAAAAAGCAAGATCCTCAAATACAACACAGAGAACACCAATGCAATCATACTTGATGGAGAAACTCTGGAAGAGGTGGAATCTTCCACATACTTGGGCAGTATCATGGACATGTGAATATGCGGGTTGGCAAAAACAGATTTACCGTACAATGTTGAAACATGAAAAACTACTTCAAACATCATCAGAAATATACAGGTATTTATAAACAGTAGGTTACGCAAGGTACTCCATATTCGTCGGCAACAGAGGACAAGTCAACTCCCTGTTGAAGGGGAGATCGGAAGGAGAGGTTGAAGGTGGATAGGACATATATTCAGGAAACCATCGAACTGCATCACGATGCATGTCCAAACTTGGGATCCTGTAGGGAAAAGAAAGTGGCAGACCAAAGAATACATTGAGTGGGAATCATAGGCATATTTCCAAAGAATGGATAGCACTCAGAGTCAAGTGGAGCGTAGAGCTCAGAACAACGTCGGTTGGAGATTACTTGTAGGTAGCCCGTGCTCCATGAGGGGTAACAGGCTGATAAACAGTAATACAAGTCAGCCCAGCAAAATAAAGTTGTGCCACACAAATGAGAAAATAAGATTATAAAGAGATAGAGGAAGGAAGGTGAGTATAATCAAGGACAATGGATGAATAAAAGTAAATGAACGACAGTAGTAAATAATATGAGAAACAGTTCAATAAGGAAGCACAGCTAGAAAGCATCGTTCTAGCTAAAGAAGTTCATCTCATTTTAATGATCTTGTTCGAGTGATCCAGGAAATTTCTCGCAAAAGACAAGCAAGGATCAGGAAACACTAAGAAGCATTTCATCCAATCAGCGTTCACTTGAAGTTGTAGCCAGAAACATCAAGGATGTGAAACGTCACATGTAGAGGTTCTGATTGGCTGATTGCTTATACTGCTACTATGTTTAGTAGCATTCCAGAATCTTCGAGCAACCCAAGGACATTTAAAATATTATAAAAATCCTATATTTTCTGTATTAGAATGAACCTTTGGAGTAAAGTACTTCTCGCATACTTTATGTCTTCTCTCTCGTGTTCAGGTCGCTGTAAAGTTCTAGCTTGGGGGTTACAAGAATAGCTTAGGAACCGAGTATAGGGTTTAATTTGCAAGACTTATCAGATCTGAATCTAATTTGTCCTTAACAAATTAACGAGGAGGAATGAATGTTAATCACATGACTGCGTAAGAGGTTTAAGTTGGGTACTAAAGTAAAACTTATTATCAGAACAACAAATTACATTTATGCAATTTATCAAAGAAACATTTTTTTATTTACAATATAATCAAAAGATTAAAAAACCTCTTCTAACGTTTGATAAAATTATCATGAAGTTCTCCTTTCTGACGATTACTAGCCTTACGATGAATACCTTCTTCTAAAGTAGTTCTGTCAACATGTTGGTTTTTTAAATGACTAATAAATGATGGTCCATGAGAAAATTTCGAGGCTAATTCCCTTTCCTCTTCATTCTTTTTTATCTTATAGTGAGTAGTGGAACGATGTAAACGTTCTTTTTCATGTTCTTTTGCATCAGAAATCATCTGAGCTCGCTTAGCTTCGATTTCTTCTTTAGATAACTTTCTCCGATTTAATGATGACTTGTGATAGTTAGATCTTTCTGAACAGGATAAAATTGATTGGTTACTTTGATTACATCCTGAATGATGTTTTCGGTTCACATTTGAACACTTTTGGTCTGAACGTGTATGTTCCTGATCACAAGTATTTGAACGTTGTTTTTTAACAGTACTAGATGATTCTTTACTACATTTATCCATAGATTTCTGTGAGCTATCCTCTTTCAGTTCATTAGATTGGTGAATAATTTCAATGAACTTATTCAGCAATTCATCATCTGAACTACCTCCCTCTGATTCATCTGAACTTTTATGCGGACGTT